TCCACGGTCATTAATTAAAGCAAAGGGTTAAAAGACGTTGTGAAGACCGTCGCATGTCCACACAGTTTCCACCCATCTGAAAAAAAATCAGAGGCACGGGGCACGGTTATTTGGAAAAAAATCAAGAGTAATAGTTTAGGAAATCACCACAAAATCTCGCAAGAAAGGGAAAAAAGTACCATCTTGCCTGAGTTTTCTTAACCGCTGAATAAAACGGACTGTCCACACTACGTATGTGAAACAAATGTGTGTGTGCTTTACAAATGATACAGTCTCCTAAATCTGTTGTTTTGTTTTGTTTTGTTTGTTATTGGGAGGGTGTAATGTCAAGTAACTATATATAACCCCGTATTGCAACCTAACTTGCTCCTCTTCTGCCATATATGTCGCGGTTTATCTCCAGGATGCAGGCCAGTAAATAGGTCCAAAATTACCTGTGCGAACCAAATCACGATTTGTGCGGCTGTAAAATTCTCTGCCATTGGAGGATTTCGTGGAACGTGGACTAGCTGGTTTGTTCCTAACCAGGAGGATGGAATCTAGGAGTACAGGACTGTCAGCTTATATTTCAGCTTATAAGTGTAGGCGTCAATGTTCAAAATGGCAGTGGGCCTCGGGACTGTTTTGAGGGGTGTTTATCTCTGGGATAAATATCTTTAAAACTCATAGGTTAAGCCGCAGAAAATTGAAAAGAAAATGAAAGATAAGGAAGTCAGCTTTAATTTGATATGTGCGCTGAACAACTGAGAAACTTGTGAGTATTTTTCGTGATTTTTTGAAGTAAGGATATTTGTCACGCTTGTCTATAGCAGTTTATTTGGTTTGCACCCTCAAGCAAGCGCCTCTCTGTTGTTAAGCTGTGCTGGAGCACATAGCTCGTCTGGCCGTGCCAACTGCAGCATAAAACGGCTATATAACCCCTCTGTTTCCTTTAGAAAAGAGAGCACTTCACTGTACCGCAAGCGCTATACACCGCTGACAGGTTGAACCCAAAGAACAGGTTGCTCCGTCGGGTCGGTTTACCCGAGGAGGGTAAGGGAAGAAGAAAAAAACAAAACAAAACAAAACAAAAGTTCGTAAAATACTACCACTTCCGCTCGTCCGTGTCTGGGCCTCCCCGCGCACATGGCCCCAGCGGGCCCATAACCATTTTCTGCCCCCGAACATGAACCCGAGAAAATTGCCGGTGAATGTACTGGTGGTATATCACGGGCGTTTGCGACGTGACCCATCCACATGCGATGTTTCCCTGCATGAAGGAAATAAGGGGAGATTGAGGTTGCAAGATTGCTTCTGCAACCTATTGTTATTACTAAGTAACAATAACAGGAGAAAGGTTCTAAAAACCTTGTGTGATATGATTTAATTAAGCGTATGAGGACAGAGGTTCTCCCAAAAGTTTATCTGATGACTCAATTGCAGCTGTAGATGTTGGGGGCGTAGCGCGCTGTAAAGCGGTTGCTTGAAGTTCAAGTCTATGTGACGTTACCTATTAGTCCAGGGCCCCGTTCTATTAAACAAAAGGAAATGAAAAATAAAATTTAAAACAAAAGGACAAGTAAAGCAAAATGTCAGAAGTTGACAAAAATAAATTAATAGTAGAATCATCTGGGAAAAACTTAGAACGCTGCCGTGCTCGGTGTCATATTGCAGCCATCAGGTCTTGGTGGTGACGCACAAGTTCTGCACATGTTCATATTCCATAAGCTTCGTTATGGAGATTTAATATTTTGAGACCACGACAATGTCACGGTGGTTTACACAGGAAAAGCAAACTGCAGTTTTGTGTGAAGGTGGGTGGGGTGCGGGGGCAGTGCGTGGTCCAAAAGTGTGTGTGGGGGGCACTAGTCATGAACGTTGCTGTCGAGGTGTAAATCCACACTTTTCTGTTCCCTTGGCGCGTTTTGAACATCAGCATCCGTGTCGTCAGAAACCGGAAACTGTTTAAAGGAAGTCTCTTTTTTAGCCTTCAACTTTTTTTTTAAACATCCATCCAGATGGTTTTTATGCGCCTCTTCCGTTTTCATTAGCGGAGTAAATTATGGTCTTTATCGAGCGTGTAATTACGGTCTGCGTGGTCGGTGGTATTATGCAGCGATCATCGAGTGATCCTGTCTGATTCGAAACTTACAAGAGTCCTGGACCCGAGGGCAAAAGAAAAATCTAATTGTTGTGGTCTACAGGCAATAGTAATAAATGCAATAACTCTGCGGGATTGTTAAAACCATACTCTTGATGAGGTTCCATGAATGAAGGCCCTGGTGGAACATTTTAGTTTAAATAGTTTTTTTTTAATTTTAGAGACGATTTATCACACTTTAAAACTTACACAAAACAAAGATGTCCATCTTACAACAGGAACTACACTGACGAAGACTCAAACCAGGGGCGGAGTTAGGTTTGACCCGAGGGGGCAGCGGCTAGGGGGCGTTCAAACAGGTGCATGTTACTCATTTACCCCATTTTCCTGATTTTGGCAACCAAAAGGGGGCAGGTTCGAAGCTTTTTAATCTTCTCCTGCAGATCCACCAATGTAGTAAAGATGAAATCAATGTGTCGCCGCCGTACTGAATTCGCTTTCTGTCTAGCTTGTGGGTATAACTTTTGGACTGTGAATTTCGTTTTGACTATAAAGTAAAATGACACTGTTCACTGTGCCTTTAGATTGCCTCACAGTTATTTGTTGCGGCCGAATGCCGAAAAAAACCCATGAGATTGCTCCAAGATTGCTACAAGACCCTCATATCAGGTCCATCCTTGGGTCTTGATATGTGACCTTAACGGCGGGACAGACGCGCGCCGTGCGCCACTCCAACCCCGTGACGTAACCTTTATCCAAAAAATTAATCCGGGTTTAGATAAACACAGCATGCTGCGAAGGAGGCGTGGATAGGAGCCAGGAGGTGGGGGATCATGGCCGGATTATCCAGGTCTGAGAGAACCCCCTCCCCTCCACCATTATATATACATCTCTCTCTCTCTCTCTCTCTCCACACTCCGCTCCCCGCGAGTTTCTCGTCAGCACAGCCCGCGGGCACGGTATCAAACAGCAGCGACGGGGGAAGCAGACCACGGCGAGAAGTCAACAGCTAAATACACGCTGAATAAAAAAAAAAAATCAAAAAAAAAAAAAAAAAAAGAGGAAAAAGGCCAGGCCATTGTTGGGTACCACGCGACACCATCAAACCCCTCATGTGTAATCCATTTGCCTCGCACTATGTCACCGATATCACACCGACATGCATGTGCTGCACTACTAGGTACCGTTGTCGCTCCTGGGCTTGCAGGGAAAGAAAAAAAAACACACACTCCCTCCAAGAACCGCGCAAATAAAAATAGAATCAAGTATTCATGACTTCTTGATGTCTGCAATCTTGTGGAGAAATCTCGCGCACGCATCTCGGTGTGTACGCGGCGACAGACGGGAGGTGGTGGTGAGTGGTGTATAATGTTTCCTCACCGCGGTTCCTACTCGCACAATTACAGCGTACAAGTGCGAGTTGTGTACACGTCCGTAATTTATCGGCCCGGCAGAACTCCCAAAGCGGGACAATATAATATTGTACGTGTGGGCCTTTTCAGGGGGAAGGTTTTATTTCTTGGCTGTTTGGATAACCCTTGTTCGCTCTGCCTCTAATCGAACCGTTCTCTGAACTGGCCCGTCTGTAGTTGATACATGTGTGCATGGATACATGCTTAATCCGGTGTTCACTTTGCATTTGCCACCGACAAAAAACCCCCCAAAAAACAAAACGGTCAAAACGTGACTATCGACAGACGGGGAGATAGCGAGACTTGGGGGAGTACTTGGTAGCCTTGAAGTCTGTACTGACAGCGCGCTCCTTGGACCAGACAGAAATTCCCACTCGGCGCATAATACGAGTACTGATTGTTGGGTAGGGACCGTTTGGAGACGGCGCAGTCGGCCGTGCAGTGCCGCTATTGAGATTGGCCAACCAGGCACGGTCCTCGGTCGGGCACTGGTGCCGGGGCTGCATGCTACACTGGCTTCGGGGGGTAAGACCTGCGTCGGCTCCCGAGACGGGGGCCAAGTTTAGGCTGGCTCCCCCCCCCTCAAAAAAATCTCAAGGTAAATTTGCTGGCGTATAAAAATACCCATAAAGACCGGGTCTGCCGTCGCTGTGTTACAGTGAAATGCCGTCTTGAATGGGACCAGTGATTCGAAAACACAACTGTAAACTGCTTTATCCTAACGTTAATTGCATCTGCTCGGGGGGGGGAGGCATATTATCTGGTGACCTGGCACGCATGGACACCTTGGCTGAACATATGCGCTAGTCGGCAGCTATATTATAGCTCCATGGCTATATACCGTCTCCACCGAGCAACATGTACCGCAGAAGTGTCGCAAGTAGCACCCAAAGCCAGGGGCCGACCCCCATCGCTGGGCTACTAACAACCCACACATGCAGAGAGAGAGAGAGAGCAGCATTCGCCCCCGCGGTGTGTCGTCAAGGCTGGCCTATACACAGCAAAGGTGCCAATAACTTTACATGCTCTCATGCATCTGCCCCTGTTGGTTAGCACGTGAGTGCATTGAGAAAACGGTGAGTGGGTGTCAGACTAATACACGGGAATGGGTACAAACGACCGCTGACTGTCTTTCACACCGATCCTCCAGAACCCCTCCTTTTTTGTTCACGTTAATGACCACAATCTACATGGCGAATAACTGTACCCCCTTTTCGTGGATGGGCTAAAGAGGGGGGGGGGACGATTGAAAACGAGGGGGAAGGGGGCAGTGTTACCTCTTCGGAATCCCTCTACACCAGACAAGAGGGCCTTGTCGAGTGAGCCCTCGCTACAATAGACAGTGACAACCCCAGCACTGAAGTGCGAGTGATTACACGCATGCGTGGTTCCCAAATTACCTCATCTCATTGGCGGAGCAGGCGTCAAGCTGTCACTCACCACAATGCTGACCAATCATGCGGAAGGATAATTAAACCTAATTCAGTCACGCTGGGCGCCTAACAAGCTCAGCTTTTTTCGGGGCTCCCCTGCGAAAGGGGCAACACTTTTACGTGTCGTTTTCCGGCCGAGGCCCGTCATTCGCAAGCAGGGGATCCTCCTTGGCGCATCGGGGAAGGGCCAGTCAGAACCAGACGAGATTCCTACCGAGACACCATGAGTACCGAGGCGCTGCATCCGCAATACATGGACCATTCGCTGGTGAAGAGGAGCTCGGCCTTGCGCTTCGTGGACGTGGGCCCACATCAGAACTACAACGGCATGCCGAGCTTCGGCCTGCCGCCGCACGCCCACCACGGTCACGGCGGAGAGACGCTGGGCTCGGAGTCCAATATGCCCCCGCTCAACATGAATCCGTACGGGATGCCCGATACCTCGCACATGGGGGGCCTCAAGCTGAGCCCCCAGCACTCTCACATGGGGGAGGCCTCCATCGTGTCCTCGCAGGCCAACTACGGATCGCAGTCCAACGGCTACGCCCCCCACTCGCACGCCCACGGCCACCCGGGGGTTGGGGGATACCCCAGCCAGCCCTTCGCCACGGGCCGGGACTTTCTGCTGCGGCGGGAACCGCTGCCGGGCTCTGGGATGCACCCTCCGCTGGGAGGCCTCTCCTCCCACGAGTCGTCCTACACGTCCAACCCGGCCGCAGCCGGCCACGGCATGTTCCCCGGCGGCGGCTCCCTGCACCACTCGGCCGACAACTCGGCCGCCCACGTCATCTTCCCGGGTCTCCACGACCAGCCGGGCCCGCACGGGGGCGGCATGAACAGCCAGATGCGGCTGGGCCTGCCTACCGACATGCGAGCTGACCAGTTCAACCCCATGGCCGGGCCCCGCAACGATTACCTCACCTCCCCGCAACTCCACAACCACATGAACATGAACCTGGGCCCCCACCACGGCCACGCCGCCTTCTTCCGCTACATGCGCCAGCCCATCAAGCAGGAGCTCTCCTGCCTCTGGATCGAGCAGGACCAGCCCGAACCCCGGAAACCATGCAATAAAACTTTCACCACCATGCACGAGATTGTGACCCACATCACCGTGGAGCACGTCGGGGGGCCCGAGCAGACCAACCACACCTGCTTCTGGCAGAACTGCTCGCGGGACCAGAAACCGTTCAAGGCGAAATATAAACTAGTGAACCATATCCGAGTCCACACGGGGGAAAAACCCTTCCCCTGCCCCTTCCCTGGCTGTGGCAAGGTCTTCGCACGCTCGGAGAACCTCAAGATTCACAAGCGCACGCACACAGGTAAATAATCAAACACACCTTTGGGTTTCGAATAGTACATTTTCATGGCAGGTTTGACTTCAGTTATCACACCAATTTATGCCTGATACTAATTTTGTAAAGGCTGTTTTATTTTGAATAGGCACCTTTCTAAATGCATTTGAAGTGTGAAGGTTTCATGTACACTAAACGAGCGTTTCTACATTCCAAGACAGTCGTCTCGTGAGAAATGAATTTTAAACTTCAACCTCCATCAACGATCCCCAAGGTTTTTTTAAATTCAAGGTCCTTTGTTTCGAGGCTGCAGCTTTGAAACTCTGTTTTAGTTTCACTTTCTCTCCCTAATCCAAACCACACGGATTTCTACACCAAGCCAAATTGACCCAAACGAGGATCGTAATATGGTTCTGATGTACTCGTACGTATAGGCCTATTATGTATATCAGAACTATAATAACTTGTCAACAAGACGGTTGGATTTGCATGACGAGAGAACTTTTCACTTCACCCACTACTGCATGTACACAACATTCCTGCACAATGCAATCGACTGTGCACTACAATAATAAACAACAGACACTAATCAAAAACACGTAAAAAACTATTTCTATCATTGCTTTTATCTGTTGCCATTAAAACCACTCCTGGATGGAGCACAGAGCACCATGTGCTTTCAAGGAACTTCCACGACGAAAGAAAATGCTAGTAGCAGGCCTACACATTTAAAAATTGCCAATGTAAACAATCACAACTTTGGCAATTGGCTCTTGGGCATGCTCGGCGTAACTACAAAGCCCACGTCACGCCCAATCGAGGCAGAGCCCCAGAAATGATAAATCGGATTTTCAATTAGAGGAAAGGAGACGCATTTCATATCATGCATGGCGTAATAACATGATACGGGACCCCGGAGCCAAGAGTTTCCATTGTCAGACTTGTTTTGCCCTTTCGTGTTCTCTCCATCTCGCTGGCCTTTCTCTACTCTGGGTCTGTTATGAGATTGTTTTGAGGGCGTAATCGAGAGTGTACGGCCCCGCCGTCACCAGACTGCCGCTGGTTCAGTGGTAGGCGGGGGTCCCGCTGAGCCCAGAGTGCAACGCGAAATGTCACATTGTCTGTTGTTTCTCCAGCCTCGTGCTGCACAAAATGGTGGACCCCTTGTGCTTTTTTTCGTCGTCTTTCCGTTTTTTCCCCTTTTTTTTCACCCGCCCTCCGTTTCTTTGAAAACGCAGCATTATCGAAATGAGGGAGAATTGTCGCACGGTCGGTCGAGTGGAAACTCGATTCAATAATTTAGCCAGGATTACCGAGAAGCGTCGAATTCTCCTAAACCCTGCCTCCATTTACTATAAACTCTTTCATTTCTCGCCATTATCAAAATCATCAACGAAATATGTTAACGTAGATATTAAATTCTCTTAGTCCTTGACTTTTTTTTACACATTTTCTGTGACTTTCTTCCTCGGAAAGTGTTTTCAGGAATTCAGCTCCAGTTGTCACTAACAGTAACAGTGAAAAATGCAACAGCGTGGGCCAGCCGCTTTTTTCCCGGTAAAAATTTCGATAATCCATTCAGACACGGTTGGCTGTACCCTGAGGCTCCCCGCGCTTGTGTAATCGCTGTTCCCGCGGGACATCGCTGGTCGATGAATTGGGCAACCGTCCTCTAGCCCTTTTGTTCCTTCTTTTCGCAGCCGTTCGCTTCTTTAATATCATCAGAACTTCCACTGTCATTGCCAGCCACGTCCCTCTTTATCTTAGCAACAGTCTCACTTGCAGGTTCTGTGGAGTTCTTCCCTGTCAACCTGGAACTCTCTTTTCCCCGATATTGCAGCTTTTTTTGGTCTGTTCAAAGCACCGTGGATTTTTTCTCCCCGCCAGTGTCTCACGTACCCGAGTTAACTCGTATCCTGGTCAACTCGTACCCCAGTCAACTCGTACCCTCTATGAAAACACACGCATTTGTGACCCAAACAAATTACGAGTGTTTTCTTCCTTTTTACCCCAAACGGATTACAATAAATTGTCTCGCTTTTATACCCCAAATTGACTATGATAATGTTTCTTCTCCGGTTTTCTCGCATTTTGGACGATGTCAGATGCTAGGGACGTTTATTCATCTTTTATCATAAAAATGGTGAAACTCGCAAGTAGCATGAAGCAGCGTGTCGAACATGGCAAGATCATGTCGAGACGTTTCTCGCGGTAAATGATTGCAACCCATCACGTTGCTTAATTGATCAACATCCCCTCTCCCCGAACAGAACCGACTGAAGTATTAATTCACTGTTCTCAATCAGAGTTTGACTTCTTTGAAGGCATCACAAACATGGTAGGCGTATTTCAAAACCCTAGCAAGGGATAGGGCATGTAGCAAGTTCATTTATTCAAAAATGGACCAAGACGTTGACTGGAGAGGGACTTAGCGTGCGAGCTGCGGACCATCTGTGTTCAAGGGGGGGGCTGCAGGCAGACGCCATTTATGTCCCACTTCCTAAACATGGTGGGAATTTTTCAACGAAATCTGACAGGTAAAAGGAACTTTATACGTACGTTTGTGTTCAATAAATGCGAACATCAAAACCCATTTTATGCTCGGCATATTATTCTCTGCTGACAGGGCCTTGGGAGTACGAGTTGACTCGGGTACGAGCCAACCTGGGTACGAGTTAATTCGGGTGCGAGTTGACCTGTGTACGAGTTGACTTCGGTGCATATTGTGGGTACGAGTTGACCGGAGTACGAGTATAAACCCGGGTAGAAGTTGACCCATTTTGTTTGGGATCGACATTGGTGCCGGATCAAATCAACGTTTCCCTGCGAAATGTCGAACTTTCGAAGGCAGCGTGGGCCTTAAGTTAACTGTTAACATCGACCGTGCACATGTGTGGGACGGTGATCAGGCACAAACGGTGTGAATAGCAACGACGCTCAATTCTTTAAGATGGGAACTTTGCCGATGGTATGAAAAAGCAAGGTTTGGATTTGTTTTGGTCATTTACAAGTTTTCAGAAGAAATGTGCCCCATGAAAGGCCATTCTCAGGTGAGCTTTCCATTTGAAAAGTGTGGTAGTGTTCGGCAGATCTACAAAAGGCTCTTGGGACATAATTGTGTTCGAGGTCTCTCAGACCTTTTCTTATGTTTGACGTTGAAATCCACAACCGGTTACGTGAAGTCACAGTGCCTTTTTAAGAGTAACTACATGTATAAACACTGACTGGAAATGCAGTGAGGTCAGAGGTGCTTTGATAAACAATGGACAAAATTGGAGTCCAGTTAATAATTGGAGTCCAGTGACTGCTGTTGACTGGCACGAAAGTGCCACTTGTCTTATCATTAAGCGTGGAGACAGAGGCTATTATGATCTGTTTGATTAGAGAGATCGCCCTTGTTGAAGTCAGACAACAAGCCTAACCTCATTGCGCCTGACAAGATCGAATAAATGAGCCCGTCACCGTCAAAGCCGGGTGCACTCCGTGTTGCACGCGGGTTGCGAATGCGTCCTTGTCCGTGCACAGCGATTGGGACGTCGCTCGAAAGTTTCAGCCGTGAAAAAGTACATTCTACGGATCTTATCGAGCGCATGGCTGTCATTATCGTAACGTGTAAAGTGTGTTTTTGTCGATTTTTTTTCATTCAACTAACAACTGACAAGAAGAAGCGTGCAAGTTAACGGTAAGACTTGGCCCTTGAAAAAGAGAGTTTCCGATTTTTATTTGGGAAGATTGGCGAAAGTAGAAAGATAAAGGGGAAGTGTTTTGATATTCCAATGATCGTCCAAACACCTACAGTTCTGCAATAATTGCTGAAGAATGTTTTTAAACAGTCAGTGCCTTGTGTCACGGTAATCAGAGCAGAAATGCATCTTTTCCTTACCTTTTGCTATATCGCTCTTTAAACTGACTGTATGCTTGGTGGAATGATCTCCTAAATATATCACCACGGCCCGTGTACAGTTAACTTCTCTGAGGATAATCCACGGAGTATAGCATTGCCGACAGTGCAAGCATCGCTTCGCCCCCGCAGACAATGACATGCAAACGGTTAGGGGATTGCGTTCATAGCCTGACCGGCGCGTTATTCGAAGGGGTTTGCGGGCGAAAAGTCGTGTGTTAACTCATCAATCTTTGACAAGACAGAGCAACAGGGGCGAGCCTGTTCCCATGACATTATAAAGTAGGCGAGAGCTTCAGCAAATCAGTCTTGTCACTCGGGCCGCTGACCCCAAAACAAACAGACGTGTATAGAGAACGCAAGGGAAACTTCCGCCCTGTCTTTTTGGGAGGATGCGGCGACCTGTCCTTATCACTGATAAGGTTTTCTTCAGTTCAAGGCACTTGGAAACAATGCAGCCCAGCCGCCATTGTGGAACGAATTCCTTAATTATAAAAGAAATAAACAACATGAAGAAAGACTAGTATCCAAAGAGGCAAACGTTCTGACCTGCCGCAACCAATTAGGCCCAGCTCCTCCCTCCGGAATCTCCTTTAATACAAAACCCACGGTAATTTGTTTTTTTCGAGCCTCGTAAATCTTACAAAACGAAGACAAATGCTCCCCTGGAATTAATGCCGCCTCGTTCGCACCTGCACAGAGTGCAAGGCCCCCCATCAAATTAAGAGGGAAAAAAAGCTGCGGTGTTGACGCAATTACAAGCTCTTCTGGTGATTTCTTTTTTATCCGTCTGTCGGGCATTTCTTGAGTCAAGAGCTGGTGTCCCGGGGGAGCCGTATTCTCGGACGGGTTTACCCATTTTCCGTAATCGTTTCCTACGGTGTGTCGCGCTCTGTCAAGCGGGTTTGTTTTACGGCGGGCCGACGTGGGCCAACCTGGGTAGATCTGCAGTGGCTCCGCGATATATGCAGTGCTGGCCGGCTTTGACAAGATTCGAGTGGTTTCATCTGTTCTGTTTCCATGGAAATGGTTCCTTCCGAGCGAGTCAAGAAATGAAAGGAAGCGACTTTCGTTTGACTATAGTTTTCTCAAATAATCCCCTTTCTTACCAGGACGTCGCAAACTC